AGTTAGCGGGAAAGTATTTTGGGAAAAACTTTCCCTTGAAGGCATCCTTGGAGACAGCTTGTTCTTCGGCCTCCATCTACCTCCGAGTATACTCCGACCAGTTTTTGGCTTCCTTTACTGGCATAGAGGATGCATAAGTCACCTTATGGGTATCACCACAATCCATAGCCCGAAATATTCGTTCCAAGTCTTGGACCCACTCATTTGTAGCATCAGGGGCGAATCTGCCTTGGAACTAGCTGGGATTACGCCTACAGAATTCATCCAAGCCTTGGTATTCTTCCTGTCCTTGTGGTGCCAGAGGGTGTTGAGCAGGACTCGACATCGCATTCTGATTCAGGTGTTGTAAGTTCTCATTCATGTTCTGAAGCACAGCTGCCAAATGAGGCAGTAAGTCACTTTGACTTGATCCTCTTCCTCGTCCTCTTCCAGCCATTCTCGTAACCTGTACTCATTCATTATCAGTACAAAGAATTTCACACCAAACAATTATCACATAGTTAACAAATAATTCACATAAGTCACACAAAGAAGCAGGTAAGGTCATACCCTAGGCCGTAGGATTAACTTACCTCTGATACCATATTGTAAGTACCCAAATTTTACCCTAGAATATTTTTCGTTTATTTTTAATTCGATTATACATAATTTCTTGAAACATGCAATATATCAGAATTACCATAGACTTCAACTCATCTATTTCTTTTCATCATATAAGTACCCTGAACACACATTTCCTGTTTCATACATTGATCACCTCCAATTGCAGAAAATCATAATGCACATCCATATTATAAATAAGTGTCATCATATGTCAAGTTAAGGGTTACATAATTAAAGTATCCATAAATACAATTAATCTCAACAAGTAGACAATTAGTACACGAATATTGAAGTCATAAGATTTCGCTCACTAAATGTAACACGCTAATTTTATTTTCCCTAAGTGTAGTGAAAATCCAGGAACTTTGGAGTATATTGGGTGTTTCTCACCTGAGCGAGAGGGCCACGCCCAAGCGAGAGGCTCAATGTTTACTCCCAGTATTTCTCTCGGACTCTCGACTGGGCGATAATAGGCTCGCCTGAGCGAGAGGGAAAATGTGGAGGCTGAAAGATTCTCGCCTAGGCGATAATTGGCTCGCTTGAGCAAGAGGAGTGTTGCAAAGGCTGAAGGATTCTCGCCTGAGCGAGAGTCCCTCGCTTGAGCGAGAGCATCATAGTTTGAAACTTTAAAAGGCAGGTATTTATCGCCTAGGCGAGGTGTTCTCGCTTCGGCGAGAATCTAAAAGTCTGAACCCTAAAATAGAGCCCCAAACACGAAAAGTGGCAGAACTTTTGGGACAAAAGAGAGAGAGAGACGATTTTGAGAGCAAGGGTTCGTTTAGAAGCTACTAGAAGCTAGAGAAGAGGTAAATCACTTGATTTTGACACTATCTAGTTTTGAAACTATATTTGTTATTGTTGGATCTCTTCTCTTATCTTGAAAAACCATTAAACTCACTCGTTTGAGTTATGGTTCGTTTTTTCTAACTTTTCCCTCTAAAACTCATGGTTTAGAGTTTATATTTGGAAATGGGGTTGATTGGTGGTTGATTCATGAAAAACCCAAAAACCTAAAACGAAAATGATGTGAAAGGGGGAAATGTTAGGTTAGAAAATGTGGTTTATGAGTTCTAATGTTGATCAAGAGTGAATATGTATGTTTTACATGTTTGAGATTCCAAAAGGAGATGGTTTTGAGAATCATTGAAAATATGAACCTATTTTATGGATGAATATGTAGTATAAGTTATTTATGTGATATTGTGAAATAAATGACTGATTATTGTTATTGTATGGTGGGAATGAGGAAAGATCCTAAGGTTGGAGGAGGTGACGAAGGAACTTGCAAAGTTACCAAAAACCAACCCCAACGCTCAACAAGGTAAGGAGAAGCATTATACTTGTATATTCTGTCATGAATAGTGTTGAATTTTATGTTTAATCATGTTATGTAGCAACTTTGGTAAGGAGAAGCATAACTTGAGCCAAAGTATACTACATAACTTGAGCCAAAGTATTGCTACGTAACTTGAGCCAATGTGCTACATAACTTGAGCCAAAGTATTGCTACATAACTTGAGGCAAAGTATTGCTACATAACTTGAGCCAAAGTGTGCTTCATAACTTCAGCCAAAGTATTAATACATAACTTGAGCCAAAGTGTGCTACATAACTTGAGCCAAAGTGTGGTACACAACTTGAGCCAAAGTGTGCTACACCGCTTAGGGGAGCCAAAAATAGGGTTTTCATTTCTTTCATTTGTCATCCATAAATATCCAGAAAATTCCACACTATTCATTAACAAAATATTCAAGTATAATGCTTCTCCTTACCTTGGTGAGTGTTGGGGTTGGTTTTGGTAACTTTGCAAGTTCCTCCTTCACCTCCTCCAACCTTAGGATCTTTCCCCATTCCCACTACACAACAACAATAGTAAGCCATTTACTCAGAATGTCACATAAACAACTCACATAACATATTCAACCATAAAATAGGTTCATATTTCAATGGTTTTCAAAACCATCACCAATAGGAATTTCAAGCATGTAAATCATACACATTTACTCTTTACTCAACATTAAAACCCATAAACCACATTCCTAACCTAACATTTCACCCCCTTTAACCACCATTTCGTTTCTAGGTTTTGGGTTTCCAAACATCAACATTTTACCATCACCATTTCCAAATACAAACTCTACACTACGGTTTTTCAGGAGAAAAATTAGAGAAAGCGAACCATAACTCAAAAGAGAGGGTTTTAAGGTTTTTCATGATAAGAGAAGAGACCCAAGTAAACAAGTTGACTTTCAAAACTAGATTGAGTGTTAAAATCAAGTGATTTAACTCTTCTCTAGCTTCTAGTTGACTCTACACGAGTTCTTTCTGTCAAAATCGCCTCTTCCTCTATTTTCTCCCCAAAAGTCTACCCCTTTTTGTGTTTGGGGTTCTATTTTAGGGTACAGACTTTTAGATTCTCGCTCAAGCGAGAATTTCATGCCTTTTTGAAATTCAAACACTGATACTCTCGCTCAAGCGAGGGACTCTCGCTCAGGCGAGAATCCAACAGCCTTCACAGCCTCCCTCTCGCTTAAGCGAGCCAACTCTCGCTCGGGCGAGATTCCCAGAGAAATCATGGGAGCAACTCTGGACCCCTCGCTTGGGCGAGGCCCTTTCGCTCAAGCGAGAAACATCCAGTAATCCCCAGACTTCCTAAATCTAACTACACTTAGGAATAAGGGAAATTGGGGTGTTACAGTTTTGCATTATTAAGAAAAGGTAATAAAAAGATAAAATACGAGCTTGTTTTATAGCAATTGTAATTAATCATTGTTGTTTTAAGGTCAATCTCTTTACGCATCTAGATAATATTTTTCCTTGTTCAGTAATAAATCGACTAATTAAACTCATGTTTTTATAATCAATTCGATCTACCGACCCAATCGGGGGCAAACATCTACTAAAAGATCGCTTTGATTTAAGAAAGAGTGGCTTAGATTTATCCATGGTTTGTTTATTCCTATCCCGAAAATACTATTTATTACAAAAAAGGATTCGTTTTGTTTATATTCTTACTTTCTTTTTATTTTTTTTATTTATATATATATATGTTGTTATGTTATATAATTATATATATAGTTTTATGTAGTTTATTGAATATATATGAAAACATGTCATTTTCACATTCCTTTGGAAGGGTGACACAGAAGCAATCCATTTTATCTATTTCTTTATTTCTGCGTGAATCATATGTTTGCAACAACGGGGACAGAATTTTCTCAATTCCAATCGACTGGGCGTATTGTGTCGATTCTTTTGAGTAATATATCTAGAAATACCGGTTGATTGCTTATTAACACTACTATTTTGAGCACAACTAGTACATTCCAAAATAACCGCTACTCGGATATCTTTACCCTTGGCCATGAACCTCCTTTGGGTTTTTGATTCACTTTAAACTCTTCGATTTTTGGATTAGAGGAAGAAAAATAAAAGGGTAAAAGGAGAAGATTTCATTGCTATTAATATAAATAGAGTACAATACTAATTAAGTTAATTAATACAATAACTTCGAACTAATCTTCTATGATTATGATATTGTTGACCCCGCCCTAGCCATTTCATTTTAATTTCGGGTCTCACTCTATTCTATTATTACTCTCTTATTAATAGAAATGGAATTGAATTAATAATTCCATATCTTCTTTTATGGAATTATTAATTCAATTCCATTTAGGCTTTGACCAGATTCCAAGTTTCTTTGAGGCTGAATCCACCATTCTTCTTTCTATTTTCAAACTTATTTGAATTCTGGAAGAATAAAAAAAGAAGAAAAGGGGGTTAATCATAGATGTTTGATTGGATCTTCAATCTTATTCACCCCTTCATGTGCCAATAACTAGAATAAAAAACGAGAATATCAATGCATCCGAGAATTAACGATTTATCTATCAAGAGACCCGCTAAAGCCATGAACCATAAAGTACTTATCATTGGTGCCATGAAGAGATAATTTTTTAGATCTCTCATTTAAAATCTCCATTTTTGTATTCTTTATTGTAATTTGTAATACATAATCACAGAGAGGAATACGATCAGATGGTTATTAACTCAATAACCACATGTATTTGTTGGCAGAATCCCAAATTCAAATTGAAATGTACAACACTTCATTCTATATAAAAAAATAAGTCTATTTCTGCCCGATCAGTCCAGTCCCTAAAAATATTTTTTCGTTTTAGGGAAAATTTATATTTTATTATTATTATTTTTTATTTTTTATTATTATAAATATTCTTTATTCATATTCTATAGAATATATATATATATATATATATATATATATATATATATTTCATATCTTTATTATCCTTATATAGATAGGAAACTAAAAAAACGGCACAATATATGGAAAACACGACAAAGATTCTTTACAATGACACTGGAAACCAATTGAGAGGGATGTAGCGCAGCTTGGTAGCGCGTTTGTTTTGGGTACAAAATGTCACGGGTTCAAATCCTATGAACAGTAACAATATATCACAATATATATTGTGATATATTGATATAGTATATGCATGCAAGATGTATTGGGGTCTCATAAAATTATTTATGAGAATAAAGCGCTCTTAGTTCAGTTCGGTAGAACGCGGGTCTCCAAAACCCGATGTCGTAGGTTCAAATCCTACAGAGCGTGATTCCATTCTTGTTAGATCCAGACAGAACGACACTGCGAAATATTTGAACCACAGTCTAAAGTCTGAATTTGACCTCTGGGATTAGGATTAAAACAAAGAAATAGTAGGTCAATAAACAAAAGAGGTGTTAATTGATCAAAGGTCTAACTGATCACCACGTCGGTATTGTAAATATGCAGTTACGAATAATCCAGCCAAAGTAATAGGAATGAGACCTAACACGATTCCAAAGAGAAAAACTTCAATCATTTGAATTTGTTTGAAAGGGAAAGGGGGAGGTAATATCTATCCTTAAATATTAATCTAATCTGTATTGACCATGAATCCCAACGACCAAGAAATTGGAAATGGACACGATAAGGAACTGTGGAATATCTAGAATATTAAAAATTTTTCAATTCATTTTATCATTTCAAATCAAATAAGTCGTATCTTACTCAGACCAATAAATAGAGCTGAGGTTATAGTTAAAGCCGCTAGTAGAAAACCGAAATAACTAGTTATAGTGGGCATAAAGAAGCTAAATGAAATTTTTTTTTTTTTATACATACATATGTTTATAAATCACTTTCCTATATTTCCATTTTGAGGATAAAAATAGTAAAATTAATAAACTTGAAAGGTACAATTTAATATTTTTTATTCATCAATTTCCGACGAAGAAAAATAGAGTGACATAGAGAATAAAGCAATTCCAAATCTGTGACATCTACGCAATCTAATTAGATTATTTTCAACTTAATTTTATATTATTTTAATTTTGTATTAAAAATAGAATATATAATATTTAGATATATTATTTATATTCTATATAATTATAAAATTAATATGAAAGATAATACGAGAAATATCGATTTGAAACTCCCCTGTTTTTTGTTGTATCAAATTTGTTCTATTTTCCTTCTTCACTTTAGAAGAAAAGAAGAAAGAGTAACCGTAGAATGTCATTTATTCTTTTACTTTCATTTTAATCCATTAGATTTAGTAGTAGGAGTTTCCATTCTTCTAATATCTACAACGAGAAGAAAGAGGGTATCAGATCACTCGAAACTAGTATTCCGCGGTTTTTTTATTTCCACTTTTCTATTTGTAATTTTAATAAAAAAAAGCTTTATCCTTATAATTAAGTCAAGAAAGAACATTTTTTTGTGTCTAATAAAAGAACAACTGATCAACTATTTCTTCCATCAAATAGTATTTGATTTATTACTACTATTATTGTTACTTGTTACTGGACGACAAAGCAATTCCACTATTTATTCATAGCATTACTATACCCTTCCTATTCATTGTGGGTTGGCTATTTGTCAGCACAAGTTTAGCTTAAGTTGTATACGAGTATTTACAGAGAGCCGACAAGGAATTTCATTAATAATCGGTCGTTTTGATCCTTTGAAACAACGCGGTGAATTTAGTATATCGTTTTAGGAGGCTCAAATGACTATAGATAGGACCTATCCAATTTTTACAGTACGATGGTTGACTCTTCACGGACTAGCGGTACCCACCGTTTCTTTTTTGGGATCAATATCAGCAATGCAGTTCATCTAACGATAAACCTAATCCAAATTATAGATCTACAATACAATCAAACCCAAAAGAACAAAATGTTGAATTGAATCGTATCAGTCTCTATTCGGGTTTATTACTAATTTTTGTACATGCTGTTTTATTTTCAAATTATTTCTTCAATTAATAGAAGAAAATGAAATAGTAAAAATTCTCTTATCACATTCAGAAGGATATCAATTCATAATTATCTATGTCTGTTTATGTCTCTATCATGACTACTTAGTAAAATATTGAGGAAAGTGGGATAAATGGCCGATACTACTGGAAGGATTCATCTTTGGATAATAGGTCCTGTAACTAGTATTGTTGTGATCGTTTTAATTGATATTTTCTTTTATGGATCATATTACGGATATTACTCATCCCTATAGTAATTTGATGAATTGAGTTTTCGAAATGAAAGCGTAAGAACTGAACAAGGATCCACTCTTTCTTTGACAAATTCGAGGGGGTCCTGTTGAGTTCTTAATAATTAAAATCTTTTTTTTCCATACAAATGACTCACTAGATATTAGATTGCTTTATGCGAATTTTACAAAAACTCCATTTATTTCATTGTTTTTTATGATGTTTTTGAAAAATCAACTTCATTAATTGATTCAAAACGTCTTTTACGGAATAATATAGTTGAATACTTTTTATTTTTATTTAAAATTAAAAGAAAGATAAAGTTAAAAAAAAAGAATCAAAGGAATAGCTTGATTTACTTTTTATGGGTGGTGCAATATAAATATAATGAATTCTATTGTATTATATTGTAATACATTCTTAATTATATTCTATTTATATATCGATCAAATATCATGTGAACCGAACCTTTCTTACGTATCTTAATAAAATCTTACTCTAAATCGATTTGATTTTAGTATCTAATAGTATAGAATCATGATTGGATACTTTTTTCTAAACAAGTTAATTGAAGACATTTTATATTTGGTCAATAAAATCCCCTCTTTTTTTTTGTGTGTCTACTACTCAACGACATATTATATGTCATAAACATAAAAGTTCTAAGTTGGAAAAAATCGAAACTAAGAATAGGATGCTTTTAGGAAGGTGATCAAGAAGTATTATTTTCTTAAAATTTTGTAGAATAGTTCTATTTCGATAAATGCAAGAATGAATCAGACTCTAGGAAAAGACAAATAATCCCTCATAGAATCTCGTTTCCCCATTTCGAATTCTACTCTGCTTAATATGCCCTGCCTATTTATTGATATATTTTTTATCGAGCCAAATTTTCGTATATTAATAGATTTCTATTCTAGGACATTGAAATATGAAAACAGAGTCCCTAATATAATAATATTGTTCTAATTTTTTTGGGTTGAAAAAAAAAGAAACAACAAGTCAAATAGTGCGGTATAAGGAATTCTCTAAATATTGTAGAAAAAGACTAAAAAGTGTAAGGACCCTTGAAATTTTTTCCTTTTTTAATCCAATTCCATGCATTTAACAATAAATCATAATTACCGAGTGACTAAATTTATTTAAAAGATCTCACTTCTCCCTCACACCCGATCTATGAACCAAAAGTAACATACAACATCCGATAGCAGAAAAACATAATTCATTAATATAACCTAGTAACGGCCTCATACAATTAGCTATGGGTTTCCAAAACACCCAGAGCTACCTATATCCCGAGTTACTAGTTTCCATGTTTAATGCCATGTACGACAATAAAGTTTATAATTACAAAATAATTAGTTCAAGTACAACCAATATGATTACAAAAGAATGGGTAAGAGACATCAAAATAAAAGTCTCTAAGCTCCTAATCAAAAACACTCATACTCCTTCCACCTACCTGCAATGGGATTAACATTGACAATACACCAGGAAAACACAAAGGAATAAGTCGTTAACTCATTAAATATCAATGTAAGATAATCCACATTTAATAAAGTTAAATAAACGGTTTAAAATCGGGTTTGCTTAAAAGCCAATTTCATCATTCATACTTTTGAAAACCATGGTACATAACTTGAGCCAAAGTTTGCTACATTGTTTGAGCCAAAGCTTGCTACATTACTTGAGCCAAAGTTTGCTACATTGCTTGAGCCAAAGCTTGCTACATTGCTTGAGCCAAAGCTTGCTACATTACTTGAGCCAAAGTCGCTAACCAATCATGGTCGGCTAAAAACGAGTTTTATTTCCATTGGCACTCCACCAATACTTTTTCACGAGTTTTATTTTCATTGGCACTCCACCAATACAAAAAACAGTAAATGCACCCGACATCATTACAAACATACACACATATGCTTATAACTACAAAGTGATTTACGAATCATTTTATTATTCCGAGTTTTCTTTCCATTGGCACTCCACCAATACATATACAGTAAATCCACTCCTCATCGAACCATAACTCAAAAGGATGAGTTTCCATGGTTTCTCTCACTTTGAGAAGAGATCCATAATACCAAAAATGGGTTTTCAAGAGAAGAAGAGAGTTAGAATAGAGAGTTTTACCTCTTCTCAAGCTCTTGAACAAGAATCAAAGCTCCTAGACCTTGGGAATGCTCTCTTCTCTCACCTCTCTTCAATTCTTAACCTAAAAATGTATTTGGGGTTTCCCTCAATTAATGCTCTCGTCGGGTTCTCGCTTAAGCGAGCTTATTCTCGCTCAAGCGAGAAAATCCCGCCCATTTTAAAAACTCATATCTGACCCTCTCGCTCAAGCGAGGGATTCTCACAGTGTCCACAACCCAAAATGCTATTTCTCGCCCAGGCGGGACAACTCTCGCTCAGGCGAGAATCTTCCAGTAAACTCCAGGATTTCACCCTCCCAAGTGAGCCTCTCTCGCCCAGGCGAGAATCTCTCGCTCAAGCGAGGATCCTCCAGTATAGCCCAGTATTTCACCCTCCTAGGTGAGTCTCTCTCTCGCTCAAGCGAGGATCTCAGGACTGATACTATAATTTTAAAGACTTAAAATTTAGGGTGTTACAATCCTCCCCCTCTTATAAGAATTTTCCTCCCCGAAAATTAACATACCTCGATTCAAACAAATGAGGGTAATCCTCCCTCATTTCTTGCTCAACTTCCCAAGTAGCGTCTTTTCGTCCACTTGGCTCCACAACACTTTCACCAGAGGAATCTCTTTGCCCCTCAACCTTTTGATACTAGTATCCATGATTCTCACAGGCAACGTTGCAAGAGTCAGGTTGTCCTTCAACTCTATCTGGTCCGACTCAACCACATGAGATGGATCCCCAACATATTTTCTAAACTAAGACACATGGAATACATTATGGAGGTTCGACAGTAGTGGAGGTAATGCAATCTGATATGCCACCGACCCAATTCTCTTTAATATCTGATATGGCCCAATAAATCGGGGAGTCAACTTATGAGACTTTAACACTCTACCGATGCCGGTAGTTGGAACAACCCTCATGAAAACATGATCTCCCTCGTCAAACTCAAGGGGTTTCCTCCTCTTATCATAATAGCTTTTCTGCCGACTCTGGGTGATCTTCATGTTCTCTCGGATTTTCTTGATCTTATCTGTAGTCTCTTGGACTAGCTCGGTCCCCAATATCAAGTTCTCCCTAGTCTCATATCAACTCACTGGAGTTCGGCACTTTCTACCATATAAGGACTCATAGGGTGCCATCCCAATAATCGAATGGAAGCTATTGTTGTAGGTAAATTCAATCAATGGCAACATACAGTCCCAACTCCCTGGTTGTTCCAAGACACAAGCTCTCAAAACGTCCTCCAATGACTGTATTGTCCTCTCTGATTGACCGTCCGTCTGTGGATGGTAAGCTGAACTTAGTTTCAACTTAGTCCCAAGGCGGATTGCAAACTGGTCCA